GGGAGCAGATCTGGGAATGGCTATTTAGAAGGAAGTAGAAATTATGGTGGTGCCACTGTCCTTTCTATGGGGGGGGGGCTGCAGAGTGTGTGGGGAGGACTCTGAAGTGTGGGGGAGGGCGGAGGCTTCCACCTGGTGTGGAAGCAGGGCCTGTGAGGTGGGTCACGCCTTAGATCTGGGGTGGGCGAGTTCCTGAACCTCTCAGAACTGGGCCAGAGAACACGAGGCCCACAGCCTGACCCCAGAGTAAGACCTGCTTACACGGCCAGGTCCAGTCCCTGCCATAGCTCTTCTCTGTCCTCAGAGTGACATTCAAGGCGACCTCGCCACCGTGCCTGCTCTGCTCCTCCGTCTTTCTGGAGGCTTCCTGTGGGCCCCACACTGAGCTAGCCCACCCTAATAGCGTCACCTTCATTTGACCTGCTTAGAAAAGCCGTCTGTGGGAGGCTGTGCCACAGCCTGGGCATGAACCCTGGCCTGCCTCCTCCGCATCACACGCCTTTTGGAAGGATGGTCCTTCTTACGTTCCCCTCAGGCAAACTCCTAACTCCAAAGCACCTCTTGGTGAATTCTGGAGAACCATTTCATCTGTGACCTCTCCCAAACTCCTCCAAGCCCCGGCTGAGCCCAGGTCTTAGCAGTGACCTCTGGGTTTGCCCCTGGGTATGTCAGCGTGCCCCTTACCATGCGGGGTGCCCCACGAGCTGACGCTTTCTTCTCACGGTGAAGTTGACTTGAGCCCAGAGCCTGGTGTGTTGAACACTTGAAAGCTCTGAGCCACACAATTGTCCCGTGTGTGTGTGTGTGTGTGTGTGTGGTGTGTGTGTGTGGTGTGTGTGTGGTGTGTGTGTGTGTGTGTGTGTGTGTGTGTGGTGTGTGTGGTGTGTGCGCACGCGCGTGTGTGTGTGTGTGTGTGTGGTGTGTGTGTGTGTGGTGTGTGTGTGTGGTGTGTGTGTGTGTGTGTGGTGTGTGTGTGTGTGTGTGGTGTGTGGTGTGTGTGTGGTGTGTGTGTGTGTGCGCTAGAGGTTATTCTCATGGGTGGGGTAGCTGTGTCCCCACAGAAGCTCAGTTGCCTCAGTCGCTGGGCATGGGCCATGTGCTGACTGGGGACTCTAGCTCAGTTCAGATGCTGCTCAAACCAGAGCTGTCCATTTCTGCCCTCCCATTGTGACCCAAGAGTGTTCACAGCCCTGGGAGCCATATTGCTTCTGGTGCAGCAGGGGCCGGTGGGAGAGCACCAGGAAATGGAACGCTGTCGGAACAGAGGGCCTGTGGTTGGTGTTTCTGGGGGCCCCAGGCTGGCTTTTCCTGGTGTGGTCATTTAGAAACCCTGAGATGGGGCAAAACGTGGAGTACAGCTGCAGGCAGAGGAGGGCTTTGTGGGGTACGGATGCAGGCATGAGAGGGCTTAATAGGAGCTGGACGGAGGAAGACAATGGTGGTGGGACCAGGAGTCCACATGTCAGTTGCCCCAACCCACATCCCAAGTCAGGCCTCAGTTTCCCAGGCAGGACCTCCTTGTGGTGGAGGGGGAGGTTCAGAGAGAGAGTATGGACAGCTTGGCACTCAGCTTGTCCGCAGCTGATTCGAGGGAGGAGGCAGGACCCGGCCGGGTGTCTGCCCTGGCATCCCCAGACCAAGGCCGCGATCTGAAGGGCGTCGGTGGGGAGGGAAGAGACAGACAACCGGCCACACAGGCGTCCTGCCCGCCCAGCAGAAAGTGTGCCAGCGAGACTGGGCCGTAGGTGGCGCCACAAGGCTGCATTTGCGCCTCCCTCGCGATTCAGTCCCGGCTCTTCCTCGTGGTCATCTCCACGTCTGGGTCCATGGACAGCGCGTGTCAGTTTGGGGCACTAGAGTTCGCCCCAGGTCTGCCAGGAGCAGCCACGCACACGCACTGGACGTGGAGCAAAATCTGGACCGGCTTCCTTGGTCCCCGCAGCTGCCGTTCCAGGGCCTTGGTGTTAAAGGTGGGCCACGCTCGCGCAGGCGTTGGGGTTCCCAGCAGAGTGGAGAGCCCGGGTACCCTGGGTGCGTGTGCGCGGCACGCGTGGCCGTGGGTGCGGAAGACGCGCGCGTGGGACGCAAGGCCACCGCCCGGTGCTTCCTTTGTTCCAGCGCAGAGCGAGCTGCAGGCGGTGGCGTCGCGGCCCCGCCTCGCCATCGTCTGTCATAGGTGAAGGTCTTAGATCCTGCGAGCCAAGTGTCCGTGGGCTCCGCCTCGGTGGCTCACGCCCTTGACCCTCTCATTACACTGGAGAAAGGCGTGCATCCCCTCCCCAGCCTGGACACAAAACCTGTTCAAGGCCCCCAGCAACAAAGCAGCATTCCAGCCTCCAGACCTGGGGAACCCAGGCTCCAGGACCAGCGTGGGGCGTCGAGCTTAGAAGTGACCCAGGAGGACAGCCCAGCAGGTGTTGCGTGAGAGGGCCTCTGAGGTCATCCCAGTTCAAGGACTCAAAAGTCCACGACCTCATCCACTAAAAGAGACATGGGACCCAGGTGGGACATGGCTGAGCCAAGCCAGACAAAAGGTGCTGTCCCCAAGAGCAGGTGCCACCCACCTAGGCATGGGGGAAGAAAAGAGCAGGCAGGGGCCGGCCTGCAGGAGCTGGAGGCTTGCAATGGCGGGTCCTCAGGCCACCAAAACTGGACTCACTGGTGACCATGGTGTGTGTGTCCTATCTTCCCTCCTGTCCCATTACTGTCCCATGTCTGGATTCCTGGGCCTGTCAGTCGGACCCCTAGTCTCTTTCCCTTTTATCCACACCTAGATAGCCCTCCCTCCTCTCCCTCCCTCCCTCTCCCCCTCCCTCTCTCCCCGTTTCCCCTCCCTCCCTCTCCCCCTCCTTCTCCCCCTCCCTCTCTCCCCGTTTCCCCCTCCCTCTCTCCCCCCTTCTCTGCCTTTCTCTGTCTCTCCCTTCCTTTCCCCCATCTCTCTCTGCCTCTGTCTCTGTCTCTGTGTCTCCTGAGTGCTGGGATTCAAGGTGTACGCCACCACTGCCCAGTGCACCTAGGCAGCTTCTAAGTCCAGACAGATCTGCTCAGAACCCAGCCGGGACTGTGTGCTCCCCAGCAGCTGCTTGCCCTGCACTGGGTGAGCAAGGTTACTCCCCGACACCTTCCACACATTCTTGGACACAGGCTGCGCAGCGGACGCAGCACACAGTGTGGTTAGGGACAAGCACTGGATTCTGTACCAGAGTTTTTGCCTTTCTAGGGAGCTCCTGCACACCACACATTCTGAATCTTTCGTTGGTACCTAGAAAGTGAGTCATCACTTGACTGTGCTTGCACATTTTCGGGGGCCATTCTGTCCCCAGGAACCCCAGGAACCAAGCAAAGACAGCGCCGAGTCCTGGGAGGACTGGACTCTGCGTGTAGCTGCTGCGTTGGCAGCAGCACCCCAGGGATTCTGACCGAGATGGGGGAAGATGAGGGGCTCCTGGCCCCGATCTATGGCTGAGGGGGGGGGACCCAGGTACAGCCCTGGGAAGGTGATGTATGCAATTACAGCTGGACTGGTCACTCCTGTCCTGCCTTAAATGACAGTGAAAGAGAAGATCCAAGGGCAATGAGATCTAGCCTGGGCTGGTGGCGTGGACAGGGACGGGAGCAGGACTCTGGCAAGAGAAGTGGATCAGGTCAGGACTGAAGACGGGGTTCTTGATAGCCAAGGTCATCCCAAGGCTCTGGCCTTTGCTGTCCAGTTGACAAAATCCCCATGACTAGGGGAGGGGGCTGCATGGTGACTCCACCTGCTGACAGCTGTAAGCCGATGGGGACGTCCTTCTGTATTTAAGCTTCTCTTATTGGTTGATGACTAAAACACTGTTTGGCCATTGGAGGCAGGAAGATAGGTGGGGGCAGGAGACGAGAATTCTGGGAAAGGTAGGCAGAGAGGAGGCGTTGAAGAGGGATGCCATGTAGAGACTGGGAATATGGGACCCACCAGGGGTTCTCTGGTAAGATAAGGTCATGTAGAAATACATAGATTAGTAGTTACGGGTTAATAATTAAGAGGGAGCTAGCCAGTAAGAAGCCCTAGCCATCAGCCAACAGTTTTATGATTACTATCGCACCCATGTGATTATTTGGGGCTGAAGCGGCAGTGGGACCGGGCAGGACAAGGACCTCCAGAGGCAGTGAACTCAGTCCCATTCCCATCCCTGGGGGTTGGGGTGGGAGAGGGACCTGGCTATGCCAGCTCCAGTCTCTGGATCTTTAACCTGAGTTCCTTGGGAGCAACTCCATGGCTGGGCCTAGAGCTGGGGTACCTGAGAGTTTGAGGGATGGGAGGGTTGGGGACCCATGTTTCCCTTTCTTTATCAATAGTCATCTATTGAGCACCCACTGTTTGCACCCGGCCCACACTGAGTAGTGCAAACTCTGCTCCTACAGGGTTGTGTCTACTGGGGCTGGACACTGAGTATGTATGTATCTATGATGATGCATGTATTGTTTTGTTTTTTCTTTTTGGTTTTTCAAGACAGGGTTTCCCTGTATTGTTTTGGAGGCTGTTCTGGAACTCACTCTGTAGACCAGGCTGAACTTGAACTCACAGAGATCCGCCTGCATCTGCCTCCCGAGTGCTTGGATTAAAGGCGTGCGCCACCACCACCCGGCGATGCTCCTATTGTATGTAGGTGGTATACATGTAGAGGCCAGCCAGAGGAGGACATCAAGTGTTCTCGTCTACCTCCTTGTTGAGACAGGCTCTCCCTCTGAACCTGGACTTAAACAAGCCATCAGCAAGCTCCAGTGAGCCTCCTGCCTGCATCCCTCACAGCTCTGCAGTTACAGGCGTGCATGCGGCCATGGGCACTGAGGGTTGAGCTCAGATCTGCATTCTTTCACGGCAAGGGCACTCTTACCCACTGAGCCATTCTGCCAGCCCCTGTGTACATACTCTTTGGTTTGAAGGACAAGGCATGGCAGGACAGTAGAGACCCCACAAACACACAGATATCGGTTCACACCCTGATGTGGGAATTGCAACGATATGTTTGCCTGTGCGCCTGTAACAGGGGTCATGCCTTTTGGTTACAGGTGCGGACATGGCTGGATAAAGGGAGAGGATCAGAAATCGAGGTCCCCTTTGGGTTTCAGAGAGCATCCTGGAGTCAGGGTCTGCATCCTTGGAGCGGGAACGCTGTGACAGTCACTTGTTTTCCGTGTAAATTCTTTCTCCAATAAAACACCATCTATTATTCTACCAGGTCTGGTTAGGGAAGGGTGGGCTTTTGGGTTGCAGTTAGGCAGGTTCTGGGGCCACAGCTCCTAGAGTAGAAAGGAAGCCATCAGGTGAAGCTTTCAAGGGAGAAGCAAACATAGTCTCGGTCCAGGGCCTTTGCCCTGAGTCTGAGGGAGGTGGGAGCCCCTGAAGTGCAGCCACATGTGAGCCACCATAGGTAGGATACTGATGTTCTGGGAAGCCCAAAGTGGACCACGGTCCCTGAGGAGAAGACAGACAGAGGCTGATGTTGTGGAGAGGTAGCACTTGACCTCAGACACCCTGTATACACACGGCCGAGGAGGAAACAGAATATTGAGGACATGGCCAGGAGTCAAGGCCCAGGTCAGCAGATAGTCACCAGGCTGGGGGCTCCTTTGTCACTGGGCTTGATCCATACTGGGCCTTTACATTCAGGCCCAATGGGAACTGGCTGACTGGCGACGGTCTTCCAGGAGGGAATGGATGGTCTGAATGAGGGGAGGGGCTCCTGGGGGCGGGGTGAGAAGGGGTTTTCCTGGAATCCAAGATCAGGCCTTAATAATTTGTTTCAGGATTAATGAGCATTCATGCCATCTTCGCTGTCCCAGCTCACTGGAGATAAAATAGGAGTGTGACTCCCTCCCACAAATGGAGGGAGAGACCAAGTCTAATCGTGGCAGCTGGGCCTGAAGCCACCACCAGGAATAAATCTCTCAGGGAGGGCCCTCGCCACTCCTCATTTTATTTAGTGGATAATCTTTTATTGTGTCTGGAGAGTCGGGTAAACTCTGTCTTCCCAGGGCCAAGGACTCACCAGACACCACCAGCTGAACCGCAGGGGCATGGCCAGGTATCACAGGGCAGATTCCTGGTGCCTGGGCACCAGGGGAGGGGTCATCAGTGGCCCACCTCTGGCTACAGTGGAAGTCCAGGCCTCTCTGGGGGACAGAAGTGGCTTTTTGTCTCACTCTTGGGGACCCAGCCCAGGGAAGCCAACCGAAGCAATGCGCCCTCCTCCATCTAATTCTCCCGCTCACCCCCATGCATGCAGTCAACAAATGCTTTTTATATGCCCTCCTTGTGCCAGACTCTGAGGAGAGCTGCAGCTGTCCTGGAACTCGCTCTGTAGACCAGGCTGGCCTCAAACTCACAGAGATCCGCCTGCCTCTGCCTCCCAAGTGCTGGGACTAAAGGCATGTGCCACCACCTCCCGGCCCTAGCCTCATGTTTTAATAAGTTGCCCACACATGCCTTTGGGCTTATCAATCAGATTCATCATCTTTCATAGCCTACCTCCAAAGGGCCGGGTTACACTGCCCTTTGATATAGTTGGCTTATGCATTGCTTTGGACTCCCGGGCTTCCTGCGTGCTGGGAGACATCCTTAGCCCCAAATCAAATCAGAGCCTAGGACATTGAGCATGCCAGACCAGTGCTCTACCACTGACCCATGTGGGCAGAGCCTGTTTTGGTCAGGGGCACGGTGGGTGCAGCTGGGTCCTGCATAGCAGTGTTCCCATACAGGTGTAGCAGCCTGATCTGTGTCTGCATCAAGGAAGCCCAGGTTCTTGTGGGGAAACACGGAGTCTGTGGTCAGAGCTCTGTGAGCTTGAAATGGAATCCTCACAGTGCTGTGCTAAGAGGGTGGAAGCTTGATCTGTGGTAGCTGGAGATTATAAAATTATAAATCAGATTATAAATAAAAACGACCTTCACACTCACGTTCATAAACACACACACACACACACACACACGCACACACACACACGCACGCACGCATGCACACACCCTAATATGGATATAGAAATCTGGCTGGCAGAGTGTCCAAACCCTTTCAGGAGCTCAGTGACAGGAAGTTCCCCAGACCATAGCTGTGCGAGTGACCCATATGGACACTTCTCTCGGCAGTTCCATCAGGGAACACGGGGACAGCTGTGCCACGAAAACTAAAAGACCCAGAGACTGATACTGGGGTTCAGCTTCAAGCTGAAGATAAGGAAAGCAAACCAGCTGGGCAATAGCTCCCACCTCTAGCTCAGGCTGAAAGGGCTGACCCACGCACGAGCTCTCACCAAGTCTCAAACTGCTGCCTCCCCTCAGTGGCTGCAGAATGGATGTCTCCTGAATACTGAAGACCCTGCTCCTATCTTTTATACCCCTGTAGTGCTGGGATTAAAGGCGTGTGATCTGTTACTCTTAGACTGACTCAGTCTCAGGTATCCCTGGGTGGCCTTGAACTCAGAGGGCTCCGACTATCTCTTAATCCTGAGTCCCAGGATCAAAGGTGTGTGCCACCACCTCCTCGCTTCTGACTGCTGGGACTAAAGGTGTGTGCCTGACTTCTATGGCCTGTGACTGACTTTGCTTTCTGAATCCTCAGGCAACTTTAATAAATCATAAGTAATGTCTCACCACAGACAGCAAGCCTCTGCTCTGGGCATCTGTCCACACTGGCCACAGACACAGACCTTCACTCCCGACCCTGAGGTTCCTTGGGGTCTCAGTGTGTCTCAGTGGCATCAATGGCATCTTGGACACAGGGTCCTTACCAGGCCCCTGGCATCTGTGGAGAGTGCTGGGAGCCATCCTGCATTTGCAGTTGGACCTGTTCTCTGGGCTCTTGTCATTTCTGATCTCTTTTCTAGTGTAGGCCTGAGCGCCGTTTCTCAAAGACCCCCGGTGGCTCAGTGCCCTACACTCTGCAGCCCCCAGAACCTGGCTTGGCTTCTGCTGTAGGGCCTCAACCAGTAGGGGCTCTGCTCTGGGGCCATTTGGTTAGGGTTGAGGGGGGCACAGCTGTGGCTGTCCCCGGAGAGGAGCTGAGGGCCTGGGGGACATGGAGGACAGTCCCACAACCTGGACAGGGGTCTCACCCTAATTCCAGCAGAAGCCCCTAAACCATGTGCAGCTTGCCACAGGATGGGAAATCGGAATGCCTGGTAGGCCCTCACACCTTGGTTAATTTTGTAAAGAATTATTATTAATTCTGTATGTGTGCGTGTCTGTCTTTGAGTTTGCACGTGCAGGTGCCCACGGAGACCAGAGGCATCAGAGCTCTCAGGCATGTGGGAACCACTGATATGCGTGGGTTTTGCAAGAGCATTCTTAACTTCCAGACCATCTCTCCAGTCCTTACATCTGGTTAATTTATTAGAACTCATTTTCCTCCCAGTATCTTGCAGGTGAGGACTGAGGCCCAGAGTGCTGAGGAGAGGCACTGGGCAGAAATTTTAATTTGCTTCTGCTGGACCCACCTACTGTGACAGACAGGCTCTTAGCGGGGACACAAACCAAGACCACTCTCTGCAGAAGGCTCCTTCCACGGCTGGTACTGAGAGGAACCCGAATTGGCTCTCGAACTTCCGACTAGATCCCTACTGTGTGTGTAGCTACCCTCTGAGGAACTCAGGGAGACCCACCAAGTGTAGTCAGATTGATGGGAGTCTAAGAAGCTGGAGGCAAACTTGGACTGTCCGGTGGGGACAGTTCTGGTTCTACAGGTCTGGCTGGGCTGCAAACTCGGGTCTGCTCCCAATGTGCTGTGTGACCAGGCCACCCCTGTGCCTCTCTGTGTGTCTAGTTCGTTTTCTGTGCAGGTCTGTGGCTGCGGTAGGGCGTGGCGGCAGGAGGTGGTGAGTTGGACGATGGCTTGGGCTCCCGGCCAGTGAGCTGTGAAGTGACAACTCCGGTGTCTCAGCAGTGACAACCACACCACAAAACCAAGGCAGACAGCAGCAAAGAGGAGCAGAGAGAAGGAATCTGGGCATCTGATGTTTGCTAGCTCCGCCCTCGCCCGCCTGAGAATAGTGCGCCTCCCCTCCCCCACCCGGAACCACAGAGGTTCAAGGACACAAAAGCTCACCCGCCCTAGAGCACTTGGGGTTGAGAGCTTGGGCTGCTGCCCAGGCTGAGCTCCTCTCCCCAATGGTTCCCATCTCCCGTACAAACATATTTATTGGGTTTGATGGCAAACACATTATGCTTGTCCCAGGAAGGGCACTTCCAAAGAGAAAACCTTGAAGTCCGGGAAATAATGATGGGGGAGTTAAATTAAAGTGCGGAAAACCCTCCCGAGAGATAACGTCAGGGTGAGTTACAGGCCCGATAAGGGACTGGGGGCTCTCAGAGGGGGGCTCAGAAAGGTCGCCCAGCAGTGTGCAGAGGACCAGGAATCGTAAATATGGGGGCAAGATGCCCGGCTGGGGTCACCAGGGTGAAAATATTGGGGTCATTCCAAAAACAATTACCTTGTTTTACTTTTCACATCTTGTAAATCTTCTGCCTTTTCTAAGAGATTTCTGGGGAGAGACACACTTTGGAAGCTTTAACCGATTTTGTGGCTGCTTCTTAGTGGTTGAGCTAAGAGCAGACAGAAAGACAAAGGGGAGAAGTAATTACCCAGCATCCTCAGGGGCATAGGGCTGGTTGACAAGCTCCATCTTATTCTTAGGAGATTTGGGGCTCTCCTGGGGTTTGGCTTACCCCATTTGGAGCCAGGATGCAACTTAAGGATTAATTTTTGTTTTGGATCTGGTTGTGGTGTGGCTCCTGCCTCCCAGCTCCAGCCCCCTCTGGGGCCGGCACGGCAGCTGAGAGGCAGCCATCTTGGCCCACGTGGTCTTGACTGGGAGTGAAGCCACCCATTGACGCTGCTGTCACCTTGGCTGACACGTATTAAGGCTCCTGTCCCCACAAAGCGCCCGTGAAATGTGAGGACGGGTGCAGGCTGTGGCTGGCCCCGTTCTCGCGGCTCTGGGTTCGGCTTTCTGCCGACAGCAGAGGGTCAGAATTTACTCCACAGATACTTCCTGGCACCCGGCACAGGGTGACTACACTTCCGGAGGTTTATAACCACTCCATGCTCCACTACGAGCAGCCATTCGTCAGGCTTCTCTGCCACCTTTCTCGAAGCACAGGGCTCGATGGCTCGTGACAGTCTCTGGGAACCCTGCAGGAGTGAAACGGGCGGGCACAGTCACATACACCAGTGTTAGGCAATCTACGGCCACAGCGTCTCCCCGGGAACCTTTAACATCACGCTGTTTATCCCCACGCCTTTGCCTGGCCCCGAACTCAGCCGACTCTCACAGCACCTGACGGACAGCAGATCCCGTGTCCCACGGCCAGCATTGGCTCCAAGGGCTTCTTCTAGAGACTGTGGGGTCAGAGTCACCCTGCAGAAATGCTGCATGGTTGTGTGGGTTGTGGTGGCTGGGTTAGCTCAGGTAGGCTTCCTGATGGAGGAGGGGGAGGGGGAGGGGGAGGAGGAGGGGGAGGAAGGGGAGGAGGAGGAGGGGGAGGAGGAGGGGGAGGAGAAGGAGGAGGAGGAGGGGGAGGAGGAGGGGGAGGAGGGGGAGGAGAAGGAGGAGGAGGGGGAGGAGGAGGGGGAGGAGGAGGGGGAGGAGGAGGGGGAGGAGGGGGAGGAGGAGGAGGAGGAGGGGGAGGAAGGGGAGGAAGGGGAGGAGGAGGAGGGGGAGAAGGAGGAAGAGGAGGGGAGGAGGAGGGGGAGGAGGAGGGGGAGGAAGGGGAGGAAGGGGAGGAGGAGGAGGGGGAGAAGGAGGAAGAGGAGGGGAGGAGGGAGGGGGAGGAGGAGGGGGAGGAGGAGGGGGAGGAGGGGGGGAGGAGAAGGAGGAGGAGGAGGAGGGGGAGGAGGAGGGGGAGGAGAAGGAGGAGGAGGAGGAGGAGGAGGAGGAGGGGGAGGAGGAGGAGGAGGGGGACGGGGAGGGGGAAGAGGAGGGCATGGTGTTGGTGTTGGCTGGTAACCAACCAGGCTGGTTCAAACCCCGAGTACTCCGTCTCTGCACCTTGGGAAGCCAGCAGGACTCTCCAGCGAGGGCTGAGTGTGGTCGGCTGACCAAGCGCTCCTAGAAGCCAGAGATGAAAACACTCCCTGACCTGAAAGAGCCCAGCCGGACGCTCCTGTGGGCCTGGCAGACACGACTTCACAAATCAGACGTGACAGGACAGCGTGTGCCAAAATGGTGGCCAGCTGCTTGGCTGAGAGCAGGGGCTGCTCAGAGACCAGGTATTCCTCTGAGAGCAGGTGGCCAGCCGTGGGCCTGGGCAGGTGATGCTAGGCTGGCTAGTTCGCCCAGTGCTTTGGGACAAATACACGCACACGCATGTGTGCGCGTGCATACACACACACACACACACACAGAGTGCATGTAGAGACGTAAGGACTCACGTGTGTTCATACAGGTATGCAGACACACGTGTACTTGCACATACAAAGTCGTATCAGAGGCACACATAAATCCATGCATACCGACTCTTAGCTCAGGCACACACAGTACTTACATATGCTCGTGGATACCAGTCAAGCGTCTACACAGGCACACAGGAGCATGCTCACTCCTCCTTCCCCAAGACCCGGGCTTCCCTCATGTTGTCTGACTGGAGTGAGAACCAGGGGCAGATTCCCAAGTGTCTTCCCCTTCTGGGCAAATGCCTTCCTTTTTAGGACTTGTCACTGTGGACCTACCGTTTCTGGAACTGAAAACAGTTTAAAACACCTAGAGACTGCCAGGGAGGCCCATCCACTTCCTGTCCCGATGTCCGGCTCTTGTCCCAGAAGAGCTGCCAATCATAGCTGTACGTCCTCACAGCAGGGACTGACTAGGGACGAGTGTGTGACTTTCTCTGGCCTGGGAGGGCACTGTCCCAGGTGGAGGACACCCTGTCAGGGGGTGGGAATAAGGCGTGGGCACAGACGGGGTCACTGAGGGAAGCCACGGCGATACATGCGGCTGACCCAGAGCCTGGCTGTGGTGTGACCACCAGGAGACGTATGCTGGGAGCATCAGAGTTCTGTCACTGAGGGTTCTTCACAGCTGCCCAGGATAGCACAGACCTCCCTTCTAGACATCAAAGAAGCTAACACTTTTGGGGTAACAGAACCCCCTTCCTGTAGCAGCTGACGGTCTTGGGCAGGAGTCCCTACACACTGATCTGACCTCAGTGACCCCCACAGCAAGGGCTCAGAGCCCAGGGATATGGGGAGTCATCTCCGCTGCGTCCTGCCTCTAGTCATCTGCGTGGTGAATACCCTTGGGGTTCCTTTTCTGGGAATCTGCCCTTCCCAGGCATCTACCCTACTGTAGATGGGGCTCGAGGAGCCAGAGGCCCAGGAGCTGCCTGTCACAGATGCCGGGCAACTGCACGTGGAGAATGGGAGCCCCAGGGACTTGGTTCCCAACAACAGGATCTGGATGGCATCACTCCTGTCTCAGGGCTCCCATGGGACGGGGGGGGGCAGGCAGGCTCCAGGAGACCCGGGTAATGAGGGGCTCCCCCTGGTGGAGAACACTCACACTTCACCACTTTCCAGGACTGAGTCAGGCATGAGGCAGCCCTAGGCCTGAGACCTGGAGCCCGAGCTGCCCGGAGCTTGGCAGCGACTCACAACCTGTGTCACGTAGATGCTGGTTGGAGGCCAAAGTGAGTTATCTCTGTAGGTTCCATATCTGCCCCGGAGTGACAGGAACTCAAGCTGTCTCACTTCCTGTCCCGACCTTAAACTCTGGCGTTCCTCTCCTGAGTTCTGGGATGCCACCTGTGGTTTTAGCTCTGGAATTGAACCCCGGTCTTCATGCGTGGTAGGCAGGCACTCCACCACATCCTAGCTTTATACTCAACATTTCATGTTCTGGCTAGTGCTAAGGGGACAGGTGGCCACGCAAGCCTTTTGCAATGAAGCTTTGTTTCTGACCAGCAGCCGATGCTCTGGGACCTGCTGGGCACCGTCTCCTGAACTCCAGGGGCTCCAGGAGAGAGGGCCCATTACTTCTGACCTGTTTTACAGAGGGGTCCTCAGTGTGGTTCAGTCAGGGGCCATGGTGTGGTGACTTAGGGCAGCCTAGCCAGAGTGTACCTCAAGTGACCCCATACCTGGGCCCAGTAGTCCAGGTATCCATAGTCGTACTCACCTTCTTGCCATGGGTAGGGCTGTCCTGGCTGCTGCTGGCCTCTGTCCAGAGCCAAAACTCGGGACACCCACCCACAGGCTTTGCAGACACTGCTGGGCCTCTGGTGGCAGAGGTGAAGGTCTGTTAGGAACTGGGGCTCCTTGGGGTGAGGAGTCTGGTTCTGACTGCCTGGGGCTTCCGTAGCTCTGCCCTGTGGTGGATCTGGCGTGTGTGGTCCTTGAGGCTGGTTCTGTTGCTCACACCCTCGTTCAGACGTTGGACTCCCAAGGATCTGGCTGGGCACTTAGCTGTTTCCTGTTCTCAGGGGGTGAGCCCTGCCAGCCTGGCATCAGGCCTCTCAGGAGACAGCCTGCTCCACAGTCACTTGCTGTCCAAGCAGGTTGTTGTAGAGTCTGGGGTCAACGGGATCTGGACCTGTCCACGGCTCCTGTGGCCCAGGTCTCCTCTGTTCCTTTTTTTTTTTTTTTTTTTTTTTTTTTTTTGGTTTTTCGAGACAGGGTTTCTCCGTATTGTTTTGGAGGCTTTCCTGGAACTCGCTTTGTAGATCAGGCTGGCCTCGAACTCACAGAGATCCGCCTGCCTCTGCCTCCTGAGTGCTGGGATTAAAGGCATGTGCCACCAACGCCTGGCTTCCTCTGTTTCTTAAAGTGGATGACACCTTTGTCCTTAGCTGTATGCTATTTGTACCCTGAACCAAAAACAAGGCAGCTACCCCACTCTATGGGGTCCCCCAAACTTCTCCTTTGCCTGTGTATTCACCCCTACGTGTGAACCTCGGGCAGGGTGACAGGCATGGTCAAGCATGACAACAGCCCCACCCAGACAAATGGAGCAGCGAATCTGAGGCTGTTCTCTTGTCCTCAGAGCGTCTCCTGTGGGAAGCCTCCCTCCCCAGGGAAGCCACCAGTCACAGCTGATGTCCCCATGGGGACTGCAGCCTTCCAACACCTCCCCAGGATGCCATGAGCTAGACAAAAGAATAAACACCCCAAATGAGGTGGGCATGAAGATTTGTGACAACCTTGCTTCTAGAACTTTCTTAATTTACAGCTTCCTCCAGCTGCTTTTTCCCCTCAACACACATCAGCTAACACAGTGAAGGGCTTCAAGAATGCTAAAAATTTAATGTATGTTAAAAGGGTATTAAATTCTAAACTAAAATTTGCATGGAAATATGACATTAAAATACTTTTAGCTTCCAGGAAGCTGGGGGCTGTAACACAGGCAGATTTTATCTGTTTAAAAAGAATTAGCTTCCCAGTATTTCTCCCGGATCCCAGGAGTTAACGTGTGAAGATGTGAGGCCACCTCGGGCTGCTCAGCCCCAGGGGACAGAGGGGAGCAAGGCCAGGTGCTGGGGCTCTTGGAGGGAGCGTGCAGGCGCTGTCTGCACCCCTGGGCTGCCCTGCACCAAGACGCCCTGCTGGTGTGGCCAGCGTCATCTCCAAGAGTGTGCGGCTGGGCCACATGGCTACCTGTTATGTGCCCTAACGCACACACCAGGCCCGTGCACATCACTGGATTCGTTTCAAAGACCGTGGGACTCTGTCATGTTTGTGCAGACAAAGGGGTTCAGAGAGGCTGAGCCATGGGTCTGGGCTCACACAGTGTAGGGAGGTAGATGATCATTTTCTCAGTGGGTTCCTTGGCAGGATCCCTGGGGCTGGAGCAAGACCCCAAGCTTAGCCTTTTCTTCCCCTGGCAGAGCTGGCTTCTTTAGGCTGACCCGCACTTCCAAGACAACCTTTTGCAGTTTCTGTTTTACAAAACGGGCACCTTGACCCTGGATGTAGAGGAGTAGGGTGCCATGCTAGGCGCTGTTGCCATCTTCTGGCTATTCGATGGGGCTGGGAGGGCAGCTGCTGTGGGGTGCAGGACAGGAGAGGGCACAGCTGGCAGTGCCCTGGCCCCAGGAGAGAGCCGGCTGGCAGGGGGTGGTGGGCGGAAATGGCCACTCATGGCCACAGCACCTTGGGGAGGTTACTCATTGGCAGTTAAAAATCTATTGTGACTTGACAGAAAAATGAATAAATGGGCACATTAACTTTTCATTCCAGACCTCAGCATGTGTTTGTCTAATCAGGAGGTGAGAAGCGGCCACTGCCATGGGAGCGTTCCCGTCGTCAGAGGAGTTTAACTGCACAAGGAACAGGCTGTAGCCACTTGAAACATAATCCCATTGCGTTGAGAACTGGCCTGGGACTCCATGAGTAACAACACTCCCTGGTGCTGTCTGCATCTGGCAGAGGGGTTTGGTGGAAACAAACATCCCTGCGTTAGCCCTCGTCCCCACTCCCTGCCTTCTGGCCCTCATCAGTGGGTTAGGGAAGGGGAGGGGAGGCTAGAGACAGGAGGGGGATACGCTCTGGCTAGTTTTTGTCACCTGGCTGCAAACTAGAGTCGCTTGGGAAGAGAGAGCCGTCACTGAGTAACTACTCTCCTTCCCCTGGACCACAGGCGAGCCTGCGGGGCGGTATTGATTGATGATGGATGAAGGAAGGGACCGGCCCACTGCAGGTGGTGCCATTCCCGGACAGGTGGTCCTAGATGCTGTAAGAAAGCAGGCTGTTGCACAAGACCGAGCTGGACTCCCAAGACCTAACTGTAATGCACACGCTGACTTAGTGGAGAGACACCTTGCCCAGCCTAGACACAGGGGTGTGTGGGGTCCTGCAGCAATGAGATGATGGGACTCAGTAGACTTCCTAGAGGAGGCCGTACCCTCTCTAAGGAGCAGAAGGGAGGTGGGGGAGGGAGCGGGAGGAGAGGAGGGAGCGGGAACTGGGATTGGAACGTAACCAGTAAACAACACTCGTCCTCCATGGCCTCTGCTTCAGACCCTACCAGTGAGGGTCTTGCCCTGGCTTCTCTCATGATGGACGGTGACATGGTGAATGAACCCTTTCCTCAAGTTGCCTTTGGTCAAAGCGTTTACCATGGCAACAGAAAGCGAAGTGGGAAAGGATCTTAAGGGGCGTCCCTTTCCCAGTCTGTAAATGTGGCAGGGCTTGGCCTGGGATGGCCTGACTCATGAAACAGGATTGAGAGCCCACAGCCTGTGAGATGCAGTCACCAAGATGGCCCTTTGCGCCAAGCCAGACGGCCTGAGTTTCATCCCCAGGACTCACCTGGTGGAAGGAGAGAACCAAGTCCCACACTTGTCCTCTGACCTCCACACCTGTGTGCCACCCACAAAGCAAAAATACAACGTAATAAAAACGTTCTCAAAATTTCCAAGGGTAGTTACTGTTCCATGCGGGATGCGGCTCTCGCGTGTGACATGACTTGGGGGGGGGTCTGGACGGGTGGGTTACAAATGTTTTCCCTTTATATGATATGGTGTTTTGTCTGCAAGGTGTTTGTGCACCACACGTGTGTCTGATGCCCACGGAGGCCAGAAGAGGGCACAAGATCCCCTGGAATTGGAGCTACAGACATTGTGAGTTACCATGTGGTTGCCAGGAATTGAACCTGGGGACCTCTGGAAGGGCAATCGATGTTTAACTCTACTGAGCCATCTCTCAATCTCCCTCTTTGCTTTTGTTTTGAGAAAGGGTCTCACTGTATAGCTTGGCTGGCCTAGAATTCTCTTTGTAGACTAGGCTAGCCTTGAACTCCCAGGGAACCACCTGCCTCCTGAGTGCTGGGATTAAGGGCATGCGCCACCAGTCTGGCGACCTGGTCACTCTTGCTACCAAACATGCTTAACCCTCACAAGCACCCTTGGAAGGAACTAGTTTCATCTCCATTTTACAGAAGGGGAAACTGAGGCTCAAAGAAGTAGCTCCCCCAGAGATCCAAAAGTCAGGAGGCAGCTAGGACTGGAGTGCATTCTGGTCTGGAGGCATTACTTCATCGGTCCCCCCACCATGTGCTACATCCCTGGACCTGAGGAGACGGGGAGCCCCCGAAAAGCAGTGGGTGGGGATATGGGCAGCGGGGCTACCTCCCAGCCTTTGACTCCAGGAAGACTCACTCAGAAGTGTATGTCAGCTGCCAGCTCAGACCTGGGGGAAGGGGCGGAACAACAGGATTTCCCACAGCAGGCAGCATGGGGCCTGTCAGCACTGTACCAGAGGTGCTGGCAGAGGTACAGAGACCAGGCTGGACAGTAATGAACTACCTTGAGACAGGGCTGGGCCAGACTTTCCCATCAAGGCCAGGGTCAGCAAATAGAAATGACTGGAAGGCTGGCTCCCAATGACCCTGAGGAGTTAAGATCCCTGATCACAGTTCACTTAATGCAGCATCTGGACTTCGGTGACACCAGGAACTCGAGCCCCAGAGACCCTAGCCAGCTGAGGGTCACATACCAACAGCTGTGAAGGGAGAGCCCAAGATTCCAGTGTCCCTCGAGCCAAGGCAAGAGTGGATGTGGCCTTTGTACAGTTTAGCATGGTTGAGCACATTGACTGCCAGCGTGTCACCCCAGGAGACCCACTGCGGGGTCACCATCTCAGCAGTGTGGACTCGGACTTTAGGAATTCAAAGCAATATACAAGAGGGTATTTATGACTTTTATTTTAGTATTTTAATATTGAATATGTGACAAGATTTAATGACCAAATTAGTCATTTAAATTTCAAAGATATCTAAATATAAAATTGCTAAAAATTCAAATACAGAGCAAGCTACAAATAATATATCTTTTTGGGGAGACAGGAATGGAAGACATTAGAAAAGGGTGTTCCTGTTGTCTGAACAGACCAGAATGAGGCATTCATCCAGATGACCCTTTGCAAAGAGACACACCTACTCTGAGATGCTCAGACACAGCGATTTAAAAAATGTTCTACACATAGGTCCCTGGTCCTGGCCAGGACAGTATGCAAGGATGCTGCCACAGGAGGGACCACGGTGAGGTCTGCAGGCATCTGGTGAACCAGAGGCGTGGCGTCAGGGCACTGGGTACCTTGCCCTTTCTGCCCAAGGCTTGGGGTGCAAGGACAGGGGCTCCCCTCTACTTTCCTTTTCCCGACATGCTCTCTCTGCAGGCACCAGTAGAGGGCAGGAGGCAGGAGGCAGCGCCAGTGAGGCAGACTCAGGTTCAGGTTGACCATCTCATACTTGCTATGAGGGGAGGAGAAAACTACTCTGGCTGGGAACTCAGTACCGCCTGGAGACACACTGTCACACTGTCCTACCAGCACCTGTCCCTCAGGTCACAAGTGCTGGGATGTTGAGAAGGCCTTTGAAAGGGAAAAGGATAGCCTCGCTTGGACGCATGCACGGTCCTCGTTCCTAACTTCCATAAGATGCTATTCTCAAAGCAAACCTATGCTCATTTAAACACATGGCATAGTTAACTACTGGCTAAGCCCTAAACATTGCTTCTGAGAGCTCCAACCACAGCTTTTGCAATCTGCCTGTTTAATACAGGAACAGATTTTAAAGAAGATAATGTAAGTAATCCTCCGCACCCAAAAATGGTCCACCATACCAACTATGATAAAGAGTACACCTGTTTATTAAAAGGAAAAAAAAAAGAAATGTACACTTTTGTTCTTTGTTTGCTTTAAGAAATTTGATCAAGTTGCAAGGAGATGTCTGGCATGACTATGTACACCCTTAGCGGGGCTGCCAGGCAGTGAGCACGGCTGAGTAGCATGTGGCTCTCCAGGAGGTGGTCTGGCTCGGGCATTGCTACTTAAATTCATTGCCAGGTTTCAGTCCAATGGCAATGTCCCCGGACTCCAGAGTAGGGCACCCCCTACCTCTAAACCTTCCCCTAGAGCCCAGCAGCACTATGCCTGTGAGCCCAGGCACTGCAGGGTGAAGGTGGACTCTGGGACCACTTGGCCCTGCAGGCAAGCTGGGCTGCAGCAACAGACTGGAGCCAGTGTTACTGCTGTCCTGATTTCTTCTCCTTCTGGAAGCTGAAGCTTGTCCGTCTGTTCAGTTTTCTTTGTTTTTGAGCAAAATAGTCAGCCCGGGCAGTGCTTGCTCGTGACTCCAGGATATAGTTGACCTAGAGAGCAAGAAGACATGGCTGTTACTTGGCAGCACTGGCTGTCACCCAGGCCAGAGCACGCGGTGGAACGGACACCAGCTTTAGGCTGGTGCCCCTGGGTGAGCTGCTGCTAACCCTGCAGCCTAGCAGGTCGGGGTGAAGCCCTTGTTTTACAACAGACAGGAAGAAGTGCAGGTTTCTCAGTCTTGACTAGTGGGCTTCTGTTCCTTGCTATGGGCTGCCTCCCAGAATGCTCCCTACTCCAACTCTGCTCAGCCAGCTCTACAGCCCTGGGTTGGTGGTCGTCCCCTCCAACTCCACATTAGACACCCGTGGTCTCCACATCTGAACGATGACAACACGGTAGGCGAAAAGTCAGAACAAAGCTTCCCTTCAGCCTCCTGACAGCCTGGCATGGGCGAGGCTAGGAGGCCTGCAGAGGGTGGAGGTCCCCGGGGTCAGGTAGACGTCAGCTTGGAGCATGTGTCCTCTCAAGACCACCTGCGCACCTTTTGCCACGGCTTCCTTCATGGCGGTCCCCTGCCCTGGCTCTCTGTGAACAGAATGCTTCCCTCTCATACTTCTCAAAGTCCTGGTTAGAAAGCTGAATCTTGGGCTGGAGAAGGCAGCTGCCCAGACTGAGGCTCTAACAATGCCCCTCCAAACTTTTTGTGCTGGTCATCTGCAGTGGAAAGCACAGGCTAGCACAGGGGTCAGCAGCTGAGAGCCCTAAGTCAGCATGCAGGCTGGGGAGGGTGATCTGGACGGTGTGGACAAGGTGTGGGGATGGCGGAGGCGTCCTCATGCTCAGTAAATGCCGCCTCTGGCTTCTATCGTTCGTACTCAGCTGACCCAGTGTTTGCAGTGTAGTTTTGGCACATTTAATTTGACAAAAGCATTTTAAAATGGTCCTTAACAAGCCAACTATTTCCTGAATTTATTATCTTCAGTGCTTTGTGATAATCACACAGATAATTTTAATGCAAGATTAATGTAATAATCAAAAGATAAAGACGCCCTTTGGTCTGCCATTAGCTGGTTAATATGCTGTGGCTTAAAACGTGCCCGATTTTATGCACTATAGAGTGTTTTACTTTCGATGCACTTTACAGCTTAAGGCATAAAAATATAGGGAGTTTTCATGGTCAATAAAGTCACAGCCTCCATCACTCGATCACAGAAGAACCTGGTGTGAAGAGCCCAACAGTTCCTCAGAGATTCATCTCGAGGCAAGCAGAACGAGGGACTGAGCACAGCGTGCCCCAGCATATCGGGTGGGTAGAGGGCAGCCCTGAGCAGCACGGCCTCCAGCAAGGCTCTGCCCATGCCCTGAGACTTGGGGCCTCCACCTCCTCATCTACAACATGGGGACAATGGTGTCTGTTCTCTGCAGGGACGTTGAGAGGGTTAGGCGAGATACAGAATACGAGACACCCTAGATGTAGCTGCTACTCAGCCTCTCCTCAGGGCTTCCTTCATTGTCCTATAGAAAGCCTCTGTCTGAGGTAGCTATGCTGGCATTAGCCTTTGGCTTTTACTTTTGACCTAAACTGTCATTTTAAGGGCTTGACATGTTACTTGAGTCTGAGATAGACCCTGGGGCTCTGGTTTAGTATTCCTGTCAATCCTGCAGGCGGCCAGGGCCTTAGTAGCTGAGCTCTGACACCGGCTCAGAGCCCTGGATATGACATGACGGGAAGGTGTGAAAGCTGGAGTCTAACCCTGTGTGAGCGCCTTTGCTCAGGACTGTGATGGTCAGCTGTGGCCCAGTCTGGTTCTGGGATGCAGTCCTCAATGGTGTGAGATTTTTACAAACATCCTGAGACACACACAGACATTTCAGGGGAGCAGGCAGGCCTGGCGGGCTGTGCAGCAAGCTTTGGGGGAGCACTCTGTCCTGTAAAATGATTTCTCTGTACTTGATTTCCAGTCTCATACTGAAGTCATAAACCTGTGTTTCTGTCATCAATTGCTGTTGTGAAAATTATTCTGATGTCAAATACAGGATTATAATTTTACTAGAACCCTTCTCAAGACTTGAATATTTTAGTGCTGGCTATAAAATAAGCCAAGGCCCTGATGAAGTGGGGGACTGGGATATTTTTTTACCCACTCTCCGAACACCTGGCACAAGCTCCTTGGATGGTCTTGTGATGCCCTGTCAAGTCACTCTTGGCTTGCTGGAGTCAGCAGTCCAGAGTGGGCGCTGTCCTCCCCTGTCCCCTGGTCAGTGTGGCCTGTGGACTTCCCCATCTGCCCGGGCCACTGTGTCTCCTCCTCACCTGTCCTCCCAGAGGCTTTACTTTGGATCTCCTGGGTGGTCACGGGGCTCTGAGCTGTGGTGTGGTGCTCCTGTAAAGCCAGGGCATCTTGGGGACGGCAGCACACACTTCAGAATCGCCACATGTACTGTCAGTTTCTGGTTCTGTCACCTTACCAGAGTCGACCCTAAACTCCCTTTCCTTCAGGCACTGTGTCCACACAGGCAAGGGGAAAACCTTCCTGTGCCCACCTCAGACTTGTAGGGTTCAATGGGAGTGTCCAAGGTAGCTCAGCTCCTGTCACTACTTCTCTCATTTGAGAATGACCCAGAGGGGCCATGGATCTCATCTGTTTACTTTATACCCGAGCAGCTCCTTGCAGGTGGGGGCAATGGGACTACCTTAATTGCCACGTTACAAGCAGGGAAGTCGAAGCCTAGAGGTACAAGATGACCTGTCAGGGTTATCCAGCCCAGGGTAGGGAGCCGTCTTTCTTGTTCCTCAGCTCCATTTCTTCCTCTTGTTAGCCAGTGCAGGGTTTGCCTTGGGAAAGGGTGCTGGTTTGGAGGAGTTCTGGTCGGATTGGTCACAGAGACCAGTAGCCTGCATGGCATCTGGTGCTTCAAAGAAGTGGGCCAACCCCAGGTCCTGCCCTAGAGCTCCTGAACCAACAAAAGCCATGAGGTGGGTATAGCCTCTTGGCAACCCAGCCTGCTGCCTGGCCCCCTCCCTCCCAGGCGGCTGGGGATCTGCCTGTTTCCCCAGTGGCACATTAGCAGCTCCCTCTCTCCACACCCACGAAGAACCTGTGTGTCCGTCAGCACCACGGCGCACCTTCTGCTCTGCTCTGTCTTTCCTGATGAGGCAGAGCTCTCCAGGGACAGAGTAGCCATGGCTGAGGCAGCTGGGACGCTAGCTTGGCACAGAAGGCACCTGGTGAGCGAGCTGAGCTTCATACAAGGCTAGCTCCAGTTGGCATGCTTTGAACAGTTGGGGGAATCACCTTCAGTGATTCAAAGCTATTGTCTCTTCCTGAGCCTCCAGGGGCTCCTGCCGGTGGTCGGGACAATAATGGTGCGTGAAAGGTAAAACGCACAAGGAAGAACTAGGCCTTTGGGGACTGGAAGGAGGCTCAAGAGTCTTGCGTTGGCTCAGGCAGGGGTTGAGCCACTGCCCAAGGCTGGTGTGGCCCTGGTCTGAGACTAGCCAGGGTAGAACCCCACCCTCCCACCCCTGGGTCAAAGGCCACACTGGACTCACCTTGAGCACGATTTCACTGACTGTGGCTGCATCGGACTCGAAGTATAGGTGCTTATAGTCATGACCACTCAGATAGGTGAGCTTAAATACCGCGTGACCTGGAGAGAGGAGAGGGTCCTGGTGAGTCCCCATGGAGGCTTGGTGTCCCGTGTGTCCTCCCTGACCCAGATATGAGGCAAGAGCAGGTGGAGGCTGGATGGCAATGTTCCCCAGGATGCCTGGGCTTCTCATCACAGGCTGGACCTAGGCAGACAGTGAGGACTCAGGGCCCAGGAGCGTACCTCAGGAGGGCCTTCCGAACACACTGCTTCTACAGGGTCAGTACCAAAGCCCTGGGGTCTTGAAGGCAGGCGGCCTATTCACCCCAAGTGAATACTACAAGAGAAGCAACTGTGCTTAAAGTGAACTAAGCTAGCAGAGCAGAAGCAGCAGTCAGCCACAGTAACGTGGGTGACGTATTATTAATGAATAACATGTCCACAGCTCTGCTGGCCCGGCATGGACACGGCTCCTGAAGGCCACGCAGGACGGTGAGTGCTGTTCTGCGGACAACAGCACAGCAGTACCTTACAGTGCCACCAACCGCTTTCCAATCCCTTTAGTTAACGACCTCGCTTTGGCTGCTGCTCAGTCCTGCCTCACGCCACCCCATGTCCGGCCTATGCTGCCCTCTCGCCTGCTCCTGCAGATGTGTATGGGCTCTTCCCTGCTGAGACACCCTCACCATGACCTGCATAGGAGAGTTCTCCTGGTGGATGCCCGTCCTGCATCCCCTGCCCCCGTTTCTTGTTTTGCCTGCCTGCAGCAGTCTATAATCCTGTCTGAACTTGAGGGCACACACAGGCCAGACAGAGTCCCAATTCTAGACGGAGCCAGAGATCTAAGTGTGACCTTCAAAGGGCAGGCTAAGAGAAGCCTGGGGATCCTGGCCTCAGCCCTGGGGGAGCCTCCCCAGTTGATCTACACGTGGCTGGCCTTGGGACCTGTGAGGCCCAGGCCCCTCCTTCTTCAGTTGTCTTGAAGCTGTTTTCCAATGGTGGTAACCAAAGGTTCACCCAGGACACAGTCCTGCTGGGCACATGGCACAGAGGCCTGCGTTCCCAGCCCCCCAGCCCCAAGGCTCTTCCTCTCAGCTTTACCAGGCCACACACACCTACTAGACCTCCTCATTCATTGTACTTTTAATTGAAGCAGCGGCTGGTCATGTTATTAATTAATAGTTGTCACCCACATTACTGTAAGTTCCTCTCCTTCCCGGAGAAGTCTTCTGGGGACTTTATTTACAGTAGCTAATTTTTCAGATCTCCAAAAATAAACTGATATATGTTATACATTTGTGGCCAGAAAAGTTGAGCTGCTGGTATTTTATCCTGGAAACATCATTACAAGATACTAATTGAGACTATAAATCCTATGTTGAAAAAATAGGTAATAATTAAAAAAAACCCCTCACTTTCAGTTACTTGACAAATTAAGCTTGATTTGAAATTGTGGTTCTAAAGTGTTAGAATTCTTAACTGGAGACGAATCACTCTGTGAACATATAAATTTCTTGTTTTTGAAAGGGGAGTGCTCAGCTTTCTTTCCCCTTTCAATGCTGGAGGCTTGGTGACATCATCTTGAGGAAGAACAATGCAGAGACATTTGTTGGCCATGCTGTGACCAAGCAGAGTTATCTGTGAAGGACACAGGGCTATGAAGGACAAATAGACATTCCCTCAGGAGGCTTTACTGTGGACACCTGGCCGTGACACAGACATCATGGCCTGGGGCTAGAAAGGACCAGAAGGTCTTAGGGAGGCCTGCAGACCTGAAGCTTCCGGGTTCACTGACCACTCTGTGATAAGTGATCTCAAGCACTGTCTATACCACCTGCTTCCGCCTGTCACTGACAAACCCTCAGGATGTGGGCCGCACACTTGAGGAGCTGAGGCATTATTAACAACGTTCTGTAGTCTCAGCAGTCAAATCTACGTAGCACGTGTGGTATGCAGTGTGCACGGGTCTGAGAGTCTGGGAGAGAAGCCTTGACACTTGGGGCTTGTCAACTGTGGGCTCACAGAGGGGGAGCCTGGGGCTCACCTGCACAGGTGTAAAAACAAGTCACTGTTAGCCAGACCTCAACTGGCAGAGGATCCGGCCACTGCACCCCAACACCACTCTCTGCTGTTCTTAGAGTATGTTTCCCTTGCCTGTTCCTCGCTGTGGCTCCAGTGGGAATGAGGAAGGGCTTATGCTTGTCCTTGGCAGTGAAAGCAGTCACCCCACTGCGGGGAACAGAGAGGGCCCTGACACGGTACTGTGTGCTCTCCAACAACCCCAGACTCGAGCTAACCCTGCATCTGAGCTAGGGCTGGTGAGTAGCCACAGAAAGCAACTGTGGACCAGAGCCTCGGGTACAAGCACAGGCCAAGGACAGCAGTCATTTTTTGCCCATGTTGGACTACAGGACAAGGGGTGATTTGCTCCCTAGAGGTTTGACCGGAGGTCCCTCATTCCAGTCTCCAGACTTCACTGTCCCAGATTCTGCCAGAGGACTCATAAGGGCAAGGGACAGGGACATGGACAGGGATCAAGTGTGGCATGTGCTAGGAGGGTCCTAACTACAGAGCGTGGCTTTGGAGACACAGAGGTGAGGTGACGTGTCTGCTACGGGGAGGGACCTTCTGTGAGGAAGGCACACACGGCTGGCAAAGTGGCCCCGAAGGGAGCCAGAGCAGACACGTTTATGGGGCAGACAAGAGGGACTGGCAAGGTCTGGATTAAACAGCTGAAGGGGCCACCAATGGCTCTAAAGCAGGGCAGTGGCACACATAGGTAAACTGTACTTGGGGGTGGCTGTACATGTGCCACTGAGCTGCAGAGGGCAGAATGGATGGTAACTTAAAAGAAGGCAAAGGTGGGCAGTCTGGACATCAGAATAAACAGAGTTCACACTTGACAGTGCTATCTAGTTCCAAACCTGTATATCCTAAGTGTGACACATTAACTGACACGAATCTGTCAATAAAACACAAGTGATTTATGCTACATGGTAAACTTTCACCATAGGTGACTGGGAAGGAGTCACTGGTGTCAGGGGCCGGGACTGAGAAGTCTGCGCTTGCATCTTTTGTTGCCATAGCAACTCAAGGCCTACCTTGAACAAGGGAGGAAATGGTACCAAGAGTGGCAGCCCATAAGGCATGAGCCTTAGGGACCAGGTCACCCTTGAAAACTCAAAGGAAACCACCAGTTTTCCTAGAAAAGGGTTAGCCACAGCTGCACTGTCTCTGTAAAAACCGCCAGCTAAGGAAGAACTGTTCTCAGTAATCTAGGGGTCAGGTTAATTTGAGGCGTTAAATTCCACTTGGAAATGAAACAGGACAGAGGCCTGAGACTCTACAGAAGTCAGGTGGCCCTGAATCAGACCCTGAGACCAAAGTTAGACATGGGTTGCAGTCCCTGCCACCTGTGGTCTCAGCACATTGTCACAGAGACACGGTTCTAGCTTGTGACCTCCTACATGGAGAAGGGGCTGAGTGAGAGTGACTCTTACAACTCAAAAGAGCGGCCATCTGGGCAACATGCTCATTATTTTGGAGGTTTTGTTTTTAATTGAGCTTTTTCTGAGCCAACTTGCTTTTACACGCCATAGGAATAAAATGCAGCATAATGGGGTAAATGTGGTATCCAGGCACTGGTCACATGCTCAGAGGAGCCACTGAGATTACACATTTGCTTCTGAAATGAAATTCTGCATATGTAAATGTGTTTCTACATTCACATATTTTAAAAGTGAACCAGAGAAGATAGAATATAGCAGTAAGAGGATAATTACAACACAGATATCAGAAGTAGAGACTTGAGCCTTTCTGCTATAATCTGTCTTCTGTATTTTATTTTCACTAACAAGGCTGCCACTGGCTCAGGATGGGACAGCTACTTAGACCCTGCAGTGAAGGGAAGTGCTCCTGAGTGGGAGGAGTCTCTGCCAACAAGGAGATAGATACCTGGTATCAACCCACAGTCACCTCTGCCTAAAAATCCTGGTGCCACACTTGGCGAGAACACCAAAATAAGCTGGAATCTCATTCCTTTTCAATTACAAGAATTATAAAAACCACTAAAATTCCTCAAAATTTAGAAGACAAAGAAAAAAACCTTCACATTTACCTCTTAACCCAGCAATGCAGCACAATAAGACACATGAGGGCTTTTCTAGCCCTCCTCATGGCTTCACATAACTCACTGAACTTTGAGTTTTTGTTTTGTTTGAGACAGAGTTTCTCTGTGTATCTCTGGCTGTCCTGGAACAACTCAGAGAGATCCACCTGCCTCTGCTTCCCGAGTGCTGGGATTGCAGGCGTGCGCCCCCACTGCCCAGCTCTGTTTTCTTAACGCTTTGCTACCTCTCTTTCAATGGCTGCCTCTGCTTCCCGAGTGCTGGGATTGCAGGCGTGCGTCCCCACTGCCCAGTTCTGTTTTCTTAACGCTTTGCTACCTCTCTTTCAATGGCTGCATGTTACCCCGACAAGCGATAAGAACTACGCTTCACTCTGGCTCTGCTGGCACCTGTCTACTTAGGAAAGAACAGAGCCATAGAGGTGGCTGTTGGAGTCTGTCTCTTTATGGCAGAACAGACAGAAGTACTCTGCAGACTCCTCTAATCCCTCTTGTCTAGAAGGGCATGGGAAACCTCACTGGGCTTCTTAGGAGAGATGGGCAGCAGCACCCCTTCTTCTGGAACAGCACTGCCTCTATTTATTTTGGTTTGAGGCAGGGTTTCATGCAGCCTAGGCTAGCCTCAAACTTGCTATGTAGTTGAAGACAGCCACGAACTCCTTCCTGATCCTCCTGCCTCTATGTCCTGAGCGCTGAGATTAAAGTGTATTCCAAATGCTTGCTTTCTGGCTTTACCTTTCTGTAGCTCTGGTAGTTCCCTGGTCTCAGACTGAGCTGCCAGCTGAGCATGCTACAATGAGAGAGGAACCAGAGCACAATGACCTCTGCCCTCTGATACATGGGCTGCATCTGACCTACTTAGCTTTGGATGGATCCTATAAGAACTCTCATTCCCACTTTGATGATGGAGCAGGGGTGCCTGGTTGAGATCCTT